CTTTTCATCTTACAACTGCCTGCGTGCAGGATGGAGGTGCAAGATACCTGAGCGTGTAATGTTAATTTTACCTGTGATCCTTTAAATAAATCAGCACCGTTTTGAAGTTACTTGGACTGTCTCGTCTCTGAGTTAGCAATGGTAATAAGAACCATATCCTGCAAGAGCTTCACCTGAAACTGAAGATGCATCTGTTCCCTCATCAGCCTGCTCTGCTTTGCTTGACTGATGCTGTCTCCTACATACAAAATCATTCATTAATTTTGACGCTTAGTGTTTCTGGTCTAAAATTCAACTCAATTTCATATATAGCCACCCATTTTGTCTACTCGTCCTGCTGGTGACGTTAGGCAGGTTTTCATTTTTAAGATCAGTGTGGCTACTGGCTAGCTAGTTAATTATCCAGCCCATTAGCTACTTAAGCTCTGGAAGGCGAAAAACTCCATATGTCTCTTTTTTGGTGGAATAACGTCTTCTACAAATGGCAAGATGTAGCATGGACAAAATGATGTTATGTGTGCTGTGGAGTGCAGGCAACAAAGGAAAGGGAATAAGTTATCTGAACATGACATTTGCACATAATGTGAACTTCAGATCGCCTCCTCCCTTTGGTAAATGGTCTTATATACTGCTCTTCTATGCACACAAGCATTCACACACTCACATACTGATGGCACAGCCACCAGGAGCAACGCAAGGTTCAGTGTCTTGCTCAAGGACACTTCAGCATGTGGACTGGGGAAGCCAGGAGTCAAACCCCCAACCCTCTAGTTAGTAGATGACCCGCCCTACCTCCCGAACCACTGAAAATTATTAATGATAAATGTGTAGAATTGAAGAAAACTAAATAACCAATGATTTGGAAGCACTCACATGTCTAAGTGTGCTGCTGAGTGTATGTAGATTATGTTCTTACCCAAGAACAAATCCCAGATAAGAAAACATTGTTGAATGTCAGCATCTCTGTGACAACTTAGTGGGTTTTAAGAAGAAATCCGTTCTTAAGAACAGCTGGTGACTGAGGCCCAATGTTTTCTGGTCCTCTTTGTTGAACTGTTGAAGCTGTATTTGCGAACTGTACTGCTGCCTCACATTAAGACTTTAACATAGGAAAAAAACTCAAACAGGTGACTATAAGTGGCACTATTGTCACCAAGGTTTTCACACAACATAAACAGTGGAACCTCGGTTTTCGTGATTAATCCGTTCGAAAAAGTCCAACGAAAACCGAATCATACAAAAACTGAAGCAATATTTCCCATAAGAAATAATGTAAATCCAATTAATCCGTTCCAGACACCCAAAAATATTAACAAAAAATACATTTTATAGAGAATAACTATATTTTTACATACAGAAAACAATGAGAGAGAAATATAAATGACTAATGAAATGGATAAATGAACATTTTCACTTTTACCTTTATTGAAGACTCTTGTTGG